TTTTTTTTTAAGTTATCCATGGACCTATGCATTTTTCCAAGCAAGGAGCAGATCCCAGGAAGCAGCAGACCTTACCATGGTCTGAGAGCGTCTGGTGATTTCCTCCCCGGCGGATGAGTAATATGTTTCGGTGTAGTCTGGCCCCAGGAGATGCCTGGAGGAAGCAGAAACCTGCATGACACACTTAACGTGGTACCAAAGGTGATTCCCCTTACATTACCGTCAACACTAAGGGAATATCATGTCTATGATGAGGAATCATTGACGTTTGACCATTTGGTCCTTTCCCATCATTGGAACTCTGCCCCTGAAGCCAATCAGAGAATTCTTTACTGTAAATGGATCACTTTAGGATTGTTATTTTTCACCAAGGACACAGCCATTAGGAAGTTTCTATAGGGTTCTGGGCCACAAGTGTGGCTGAAGAACCATCGCCTCCCTCAAGAACTTCACGGACTGCTATAGAACTCAGGGGAATTTCATCTCCTGGAATCTGTCTCAAGATTGTGCACCCCGACTCAGCCTTGGACCTACCGTTCTCACAAAAGCAATGGAAAGTCACATCAAAGCTCACCTGAGTAGCAAAGGTTTTCAGCACATTAAGGAAAATTCCAGGAAGAAAGTAGTTTATATGTGTAGCTCTTTTACATTGCGCATATAATTCCCTAGAAAAGCATCGACCCTTCTCGATAACATTAACCCAAATTAATATCATCGAAAGCTCAATGTGCTTCATGTCTTCTATTTCCAACGATGCTGAATAGAGTCTCAAGACTTGTTTCCCACATTCTCATAATATAATCCACTGATTTGGCCTTTTGGAAGCACAACTTACCTGCTTTTTTGCAGGTGGAGGATGATTTCTTCACCATTTAAGATAATCTGATACTGAACTTCAGGTGCATATATTTCCTGAAAAAAATTTAATGGTATAAAAGTGTCATACAATCTGTATTTCTTGATATACTTAAAAATAATAATATGAATGATGTCTATGTCAGGAGAACAATCATAAATTCATAGAGGTTAAATGCAGTTCTGTTTGCCTTTAAAATTCCTAAAATAAAGCTTAACTTGCACAATAAGGCAGACTTCCTAAAAGTTTAGTTAGGAGGCAATCAAACTTACCAATTAACCTAGCCCTAATATGTGAAATGGGGTCTTTTTGTTTGCACTAATAAGTTATCCATGGACCTATACACACAGTATGCTCTCCTGTGTGCCATAATAGATCACCATTAAGATAATAAGAAGGCATGCATTTTTACCTTAAAATCAATCCAAACATACTAAAGGTAACCAATCAAAAAAAGCTAACCAAAATTAAATCAGATGAAAATTACCAACTGAGGGGAATATTTTCAACAATGTAATAGTCAAAGAGTCAATAACCTTAATAAACAACACTCTAACATTGCAAACTATAGAGATAACGCTGAATTCTCCAATCTAAACACAATGTCTGAGAAAAAGGTGACCACTGGGGAAAGGGGAGGTGGGGAGGGGCACACACAGGTTGGAGAGACTGAGATGTGGCATCTCTCTCTAGAAATGGCTGCCCTTCCAAGGATCTTTTCCTTTTCCCCCACAAATTTGAAGAACTGTCCAGGAATCTTTATCCTTTTAACTCCTGCTGCTTAACTGTAAAAGCATGCGTACAAGTCAGACGCTCTGTCCTGGACAAGGGCAGCTAGCTGCCCATGTGGACTTGAAGCCAGAGGTGTTAGAGTTAACTGTGGTGAAAGGGCTCTTTCTTGGTGTCCTTGGGTGGCTGGAATCGACCAGTCCTTCCCAAGGCTTACCTCTTTGCCTTGCCTCTTAGTGTGGTTGTTTTCCATCCCTCCTTCGTGTGAAATGTGCAGTAGTTTAGGATAAACTACCTCAGAGAGCTTTATTCCAGGAGTTTGCTTTATGACCATGGCTGGAGAAAGAGAGAGAACATTGATATAAAAACTGAAAACTTTTTGTTTCCTTTGGATTGGGTTGTTGGTTTGTTGAAAGGACATGAAAGACCAGAGTGCCAACACGAGCAACAGGTTGATTCTCCTACTTTAGCTTTGATGATAAAGCCTCCCCTACTCCCCTCTAAGAAAACCTGAACAGGATGAGAATTTCTTGGATGATGTCTGTATGTGCGAGCTCTGGACCACACGACCAGGAACATCATCCGTTTTGGATTGTTAGCCCAGAGGGCTGCTGCTCCTTTTGTAATCCAGTCCCTTCTTCCTCTACACTCCCCTTCAAAACTGGGATATCTTTTCTCCCAAAGCTCTCAGGGACTTCTGCTTTTCCATTTCT